GCGTCGTGTAATCTTTTGTGTAATTTAAGATTTACGAATGTAATCGCGTTTTCCCCCTTCTGATTCTTGCTCCGAATCTCGGGATGAGATTCTTTTTAGGGGGTTGGTTGTAACACCTCTGGTGTTACGAGCTTGCTTAGCACCTAGGTTAATGCGTAAGAGAAATTAGCAAAATAAGTTTTTGGGTTTAAAAGTTTAAAGCCCACATAGAATTATAAACGAATCTTGTGCGGCTCGCTTTCATGAATAAAACAAACAAATAAGTGTCGCTAGTCAACTTGTCTCGGTGCTTAACAACTTTTAAATAATCTTGTGGACAAAAGTTGTTTAGGGCTTGTTTTGGAAAAGTATGAAGAAAGTGCTTAAAAATGCCTGATAGCAGATAAATAGCGAATGGCTTGTTTATTTGATCAAGCATTAAAAACAATTTTTATAAACAAAAATAAAATATAACTTGTAATTGTTACTTAAATAAAATTTGAAGTACAAGTCTAGTAGATGAAAATGCAACTATTGAATTGGTGAATAGATGTTGTTCCATGGTATTTTTGATAGCTCAAGAATCAAATTAGAAATTAAAATTAGCCCTTTTCGTTAAATCGGCAAAAATTTGAAGTTGTGTTGAAAGTACACTTTTTGGCGATTTATAAAATGCTAAATTGGAATTTAAATTTTGATTAAAATTCTTAAACACTAGCATCTTGTTTTGGCACTATTGATTGCATCTTTGCGGATACCATAGCATGGTATAGTTCGTGGAGTGGTTTGACGTTGCGTTGTTGCTCTAAAAATTGCATTAACCTCCTTAGATCGCGCTGTGAGCCATGTCGTTGGTGCTCTGTTCATGAATCGGTACACCTGTAGTGAGCGATCTCAACCGCTCACCTCAACTACCTCACCCCGCTCGCTCTAGGCCGTTCATTCCACCTACCCGAGCTACTACTGTCGTGTACTGCCTTTGCCCCTGCCCTCTGCCTTACCGAGCCGCCAAGCCATCCCACGACGCTGCTCACCACCTTCCTCTCCTAATCGAGTTCCCCTGTTCTTAGCACTGAAGGAGAGCGCATCGTCGATCTCCACACGCAGCCGCCACAGCTGGATTCAGTTGCTGGTGAGCACCTTCGGTACCTCCTCCACCTATCCCAAGTCTCTCCTCCCCTCTTCCCTCTTTCAGTCGAGGTCCCCTCGAGCACCAAAGCACCATCGTGGCCATGTCGTTCGTCACCCGGCCCATCGTGAGCGCGCGCGAACCACCCATGGTCCCGCGCTGGAGCTGTAGCCCCACTACGCTGCCCCTTACGAACGCCTCCTCCGTAGTCCACGCGTCACGGCCATGCTGGCGCGCCGTCGTCACCGCGTCGCGCTTCCTGTCCGGTCGTGCCGTGGCCCATTGCTCTGGGCGACCCCCTATAAGCACCTGCGGCCGCTCTCCCCACCGTGGCCGCCCCACAGCCACCCCTACCATCGTCCGCGTCGGGCTACCCCTGCTGCTGTTGCCCGCCGCAAGGCTCGAGCTCGCCACCGCTCGGCGCCTTCCCGCGCTCGACCACCTGCCTCACCATCCCTGCACCACCACCTCGCCGTCGACGCCCCCCCACCGCAGAGCCGCCCGATCCCAAGCGCCGACGCACGTGGCCGGGGCTCCACACTCTACCTCTAGCCGAGCCGCATCCACCAGCGGGTGCGCCCGACAGCAGGCAAGCCGTGATGCCGCCTCCCCATCGCCGTCGGCAACCTCATGGCCAGATTCGGCCGCTGGCCGGTTCCTCTGCCCGTGCTCTGCTTGTGAGGAGGAAGAGGAGGACCGTGGGGTAAGAATAGAATTTTTCTAGGGTCCCCAACGTAATTCTCTGACTCATATGAATAGTGATGCATAGTGCCTAAAGTACTGCGGGTTGTTTTGAGGAAAGCTCAGGGGTCTCTTCGCAATTGGTGCCACCGCCACTGGGCTCCCCACTGTGGGTCGCCCTGCTTGCGCTGGGCTACGGTCCGCCTGCCGCCTGGGCCGCCTGCGCCTGTTACCGCCGTCGTTGGGCCGCGCCTGGTCAGTAGGCCGGGCACGCGCCTGTGGGCCGAGCCACGTCGCCGCGTCGCGCCTGCGCCGCACGTGGGCCGAGCTGGCCAGAATTGGCCCAAGCGGTCCTCTTCCTTTTTCTTAGTCTTTTCTTTTTCTACCAAAACAGGGATCTTACAAAATTCATAGTAAATCATAGAAAAATTATAAAATTCCAAACCAATTTTGTTAGGCTCCTAAAATCATGATCTATCTATTAGCGTATTTGGTTCATCTAGTTTTAAAATGTTTCCAGTGTTGCTCTAATTATTTTAAAATGTTTAATATTGTAAAAATGTGAATTTGTGGGAATTTTTGTGAGAGATCGGTGATAGTGTTAGTTCTAAAATTTTTACAGTCGGTTAGAAGTGTTATCAGGTGTTCTCTGTAATTTTTGTAGCTACATAGTAAGTAAATTGCTAAGATAGCAAATGAGCCCTAGTTTGAATATATAGTAACTCAAGTAAATAAAATAAAGAAACACCTTGGAATTGTATAACTAAAACACTTGTCGGGAAACGACACCTTTCTCGACGATGTTGACACGTGGATTAGTACGTTAGTCATTAGAGCTAGCTTGTTAGTTCATCATCTCTGCATCGTATTGCATACCATAATAGGGACAACGATGGATCGCAGAGTCATCGGAAGTTGCTGGTGAGATGGTACTTTTGGAGATCGTGTCACCAAGATGGAATACTAACTTTTGGTTATATGTTATACAGACAAGCCCCGGTGCATAACTCCTACTTTTCTGCACTTTATATTATGTTTGTGCATTAAGTTTTAAGGAGTTGAATGAAACCCATTTGCATATATATATATATATATATATATATATATCTTTATCCTATGAGCCTTACTGGTATGACAGGATCGTGTAGATTGCTATGCTACATGATTCCGGTAAAAGTCGAGTGATTGCCTGTCACTCGCGAGAGATAGGAAATATATTATTGTTGTTACAATTGAGTACTCAGGGTTTTTATTTTCCCCTGTTGCAGGTGATAGGCGGATGCTAGAGCTGACTCTTGTGTGTGGATTCCTCCTGGTGGGCTCACAGAGGATTCCTTTACGCTGCGATCATAGTCTTTATTTATAACTCTTACTAAATGTTTTTATAAATTGAAGTTTTATAATCTGTTGTCATAGTTTATATATCAATGCTTCATCATGTCATGAATAGATATTTATTTCCCCTGTTCTCTGATCACATGTTTATATTCCGCTGTTAAAGTAAATTGTTCATAACTCTGATAACATGGGTATATTCCGCTGTTATAATAAATAAATATTATACTCTGATGCTGCATGGAATGTGATGTAAGAAATGGCTAAAATGTTGTAAGCTTTATTCTCTCATTTGTGATCCTGATGGAAAAATGTGGATTTTCGGGTTCTTCCTTGGGGTGTGCTCGACGAAATTGCGTAATTTGGTGCCCTCCCTTGAGTATTTAGTGTCTAATGGAAGACAAGTACTTCTGAGAGGCATTAGATTAGGCGGTTCTGCCACAAATCCCAAGTTGCGGATGTATGTTTCAAGTGTTTTAGATGTTTTATTTGGATGTTGCAAGTGTTTCATCTTGATGTTGCAAAAGTAGATCGAGATGTTGCACATGTTGCAATGGCTATACATGTATATTTCATGTGTATATTCCGAATGTTTCATGTGTTTTTCCATGTGTATGTTTGCAAGTGTTTCAGTTGTTGTCGTACATATGTTGCAAGTGTTTCATCTGAATGTTTCAAAAGTAGATCTGGTGTTGCAGCAAGTGTTTCATATGCATATTTCAAGTGTTTCATCTACCTTCCGATGTATGTTACACGTGTTGTATCTGGATATTTTAAAAGTAGATCGAATGTTTGCATCTTCCTCCTTGCTTTTTCTGCCTCGCATCGGTGTGTCTTCCTCCTCCGGCGTCGACTAGGCATTCGCCGCCCCCTCCCGCCTCTTTCTCGATGGTGTTGACGCTCGGGACGACATGGGCCCCACGTGGACGCGCGAAACGACACGAAAATGACTTGCAGGCACGGACGTCCGGACGTCCAGGCGCTAGTCGTGCTGTTTGAACAGATAGCATAGCGCCGTAGCATGCCCTCGTGACGCATCCATGCACCCGATGGTGCGAACCTATCACGTGCTTCGTGCTCGTTAGTTTTCATCCCCTAGAGGACCATAGGCAAGAACAAACAGGGCATGAGGGCAATCGATGAACTGGTGCAGACCGACGAATTTAGCCAGCTCATTAGCCTCAACCTCGACAGCGATAATCCACCCGCCGGCGAGCCCCACCGTGGCGGCCAGAACAGCCACGCCCGAAAGCCAGGTCACACGACGGTGCCACCAGCGGACCAGCCCCGTATGCCGTACCCGTGCGGGCCATGCCATATGACACAGCACGCACTCTTTGGCTCGAGTCATGACACGCACGCCACCCAGCTACCGGAAGGGTAAAAGGAAGCTTGTCAGTTGTCACACGTAGCCCGTGCTCGCGCGGTGAGCCGGAGCCCGGAGGGAGGAAGGGAGGGATCGTAGAAACGGGGCCGGAGCGCGCGAGCCGCGTCCACGCGTACAGCGCCGTTGCGCCGAGCCGCCTTTCAACGATTTCACGAGTCTCGGCACGTCAGACGCCGGCGCTTTTGCGGCCTGCGGCTCGGACGGGACGTCCGCATCCATCGCCGCTGTGCTGATTTGATGTTTGCCTGGGGCTGGTGGGGCCGGCCGGGGGCAGGGCAGGCGCCAAGGGAGATCAGCCAAAGGCGTTTTTTCGCAACAATTCGATGCGGACGTTGAGGGCATGGACCGATGGACGGACGACGGGACGCCCGAATTGATTCCATCACCGGCGGAACGCGTGTTGTACATTTAACACCTGTACAGATGCGCGGCAGCTCTACGGTGCGTGCCGCCGAGGGCGGTGTACCGTGTGCGTACGGCCTGCAAGAGTTACAGCAGCAGCATGGTGGAGAGGATGATGAGACAGCCGTGCCAGAGAGCAGCCACCAGGTACGGCAGTGTCGAGGCTCGCGGGCGCGTCGCCGGGCCGCCGTTCGCGGCCGCCGTTGCCGGTGTGGTCGACGGCGCGTCGGAACCTGCAGCGAGAGATCTTGTCAGTGTCGACATTTTTGTCAGGACTCGCGCGGGTTGATCAGATGGTTACCGGGACATAGCAGTACTCCCACGTATTGCAAGATTTCAAGATGTACAACAATTTTAGTTTTTATTAGATACGCCTACACTTTGTACAATTATATGTACAGGCTAATACTCAAGGGAGTGGTATCATACAAAGCTCAGAATTCCGGGCTACTACGGATGGATGGTCTGGTCTAGCAAATGAAGTTTGCAAGAGGGGTACGTACCCGAGAGAATCTAGGTAGATTAAGAAAAAAACACGGCGTTGACATGATGATTTCCTAGAGTACCTACGACGCCTTTAAAGTTATTATTTATTAATCGGTCGCTAAATCCCACCAGGCACCAGGGCAGCCACATTGCAGAACGCGAGCGTATCGAAACCGGCGTAGTAGCGTTTACCGCACGCGGGCAGACCAGAGCGCGCCGTACGTACCTGAGTCCGTCGGCGCGGCGGCGGCTCCACCCGGCGGCTCGGCGACGGGCATGCCGAGCGCGGCGCAGAGCCTGGGCGGCGGCGCGTCCACGCGGCAGATGGTGGGCAGCGCGAGCGCGCGCACGGTGTCGACGCGGGCGCCGTGCGCGCCGCCGTAGTACCCGCCGAGGAGCGCGCACAGGCAGGGGGCGTCGTCGCCGCCCACGACGGCCGCGAGCGCCCCGCAGCAGCCCTTGTCCGGCCGCGTCAGCGCGCTGCGGCGCTCCACGTACGTCAGGCACGGCGTCAGGTTCAGCAGCGCGCCCGTGCAGTCCAGCGACGACGGCGCGGGGGCGCCCAAGGGCGGGGCTGATATCTGCGCGCTCGCTCGCGGCTGCAGGGCCAGCGTGGCCGCGACGGCGAGGACGACCAGCGCCGCGGTTGGCACCGTCAGAGCCATGGCGTCGCCGTCGCTGCCGCGGCTGGTTCTTGGGATTCCTGGTTTCCGGAGGAGGGAGTGAGCGTGAGCTGTGCTCTGTTTGACATGCGGGGATGGGGGGAGCTCACTGCTCAGCGTGCGCCTGTGTGTCCGTTTGTGCGTCTGTGCTCGTGTGTAGGGTTGGCTGGCCGAGCGAGTGTTGGCTTGTTGATTTTAGTCCAGCCTTATCAGTCAGCCAATAGTATTTTTCTCTTACAACAAATCAGCACTGGCCGAACTTATCAGTCTAGAAATCCACGAGCGAACGGACTCGTAGTGATAGGTACCTTGTGGGCAATGCTAAGCTGGGGTGTCGTGACAATGGCGTTCTTGCCTAACGGCCAACGGTTGGGAAATGGTAGGGTCATGAAGCCGCTCCCTCCAATAAACCTTGCCGCTATAACTGTCCTAAACAAACATTGCCGTAACGTTTTGCAAAACAAAGTAAATGATTTCTGCCGCAATCATGATTTCTGCTAGTAGGAAACACACAAGGGCAAGTCCTCTTTTGAGTCCAACCATCGGGAAAAAAAACCTACACCATTAAGCATAAAGATCGTCAAGGCACGACAGTGCCATGATTGTAGGATCCGATTCCGATCATACGACGACTCTTGGTCTTTCCTACTAGTATCAGTGATTAGCAAGTACTACTGTAACCAAGAATGAATGATTGGAACGGGTCACAGTGCTAATAGGCGATACACTGAATAGACCATTCAAATTGATCCTTTCAACTTGGCTGGGCCCAAACGGCCTAATAGTGCTCGTGGAATACTAACTTTTCTAGTCGTTCACTCAGATTTTTCTCTCTCGTCGCTCACTCGAATTCCTGCTCGCCAGCCTCCCTCTCCACCACGTCCTACCACAAGCACTAGCCATCCTCCCTCTCCATGGCGTCCCTCGCTCGTTTTGCTCCCTCTCCGGCGATAGCTCCCATCGGTCTTTGGATCCAGGGCTGTGGTCGCTCAGCATATAGTTTTGGGATGTTGCATTTGTTGTTTCTTTATGTTTCATCAGGAGATTTCTCATGTTTTCACAGCAAATTATGATGTTTTCAGTAGGGGATCTCTCATGTTGATGCAACAAAACTAGCATGTTGCGTCACATGAATGTTTGGTGTTGCAATAAGTGATGATTTCTTGGTGTTGCAGTAAGCAATGATTTTTCTTATATCGATTAGAGATGTCGCACTCAGTAGCTGGCTGTTGGATGTTGCGTTTTGCTAATTTTCATGCTGTAGCATATAGACTGAGATGTTAAATAAATGATTTCTCATGTTGCGGCAATAAAATTGAGATGCAATAATGGATGATTTTGCCTGTCGATTAAGGATGTATCATCTCGTAACTGAATGTTGTATGTTGCAGTTCGTTGGTTTCTCATGTTGTAGCAACAAGCGAGAGAACGGGGCCGGCGCGCGGCGAATTTGTGGCTGGCAGCTACATCCGGACACAGCCGGGGCGAACGTCCGGGCACTGCACTGACGGACACCAAGGTTCCAAAATCTTACTGCTATTCCTTTTAAAATAAATCAACTTATCACTATTGTTTCATTGTACGGAGCACATCCCATAATTGTTTTTTATCCATAAAAATGAACCTAATGCGCTAAATCCAATTTGTTCCAGCTTTCAACCAGCATCCAACCTTAGATGTTCTAAATCTTTTCTGTTCTAGAACTCAACACGGTGTTGTATCTGGTGACACCTAACCATGATTGTGAGGATTTTCACCCCGGCCATCTAGCTAGTACCACGCGCCGTCCACTCGACCACTGTGGCACTAACTTGAGGGACATAGGAAGGTCCCTGAAATCGCCATCCACAATCTCCACTAGCGCAACTAAAACGCAGGATCAAGTTATAGAGTTCACACTACGATCCAACCAACAAGAATCATATAACTCACAAATTGCACCTTGCAATTAATTAAAATAACATTACAATTTATATTAGGTAAACAGACTTTTGGTTTTTATCTTTAGTCTCGGCCAAAATTGAGCCCGGGAATAAAGGGAGCATTAGTCCCGGTTGGAACCACCAACCGGGACTAAAGTCACCTGCCCAACGTCTCGCGTGGCAGGCTTTTGCAGCAGACGCCTTTAGTCCCTGTTGGTGGCTCCAACCGGAACTAAAGATTATCTTCTAGCCCCGGTTGGTAGCACAAACTGGGACTAAATCTTCAATCCCGGTGGCTCCTACCAGGATTAGAAGGTGTACTTTATTCCCAGTTGTAAGCATCAACCGGGAGCAGAGGTACCCGGATATATGATACGTACATACTTTCTTTCCTCCCCTCCCCCAGCCCGAGCCATTTCAAGCTCTCTGTTCTTGCTCGTCTCAGCTTTGTTCTTGCTCTTGGAGGAGGAGTTCATGCTTTGGATCTAGACTTGATTCGATTCCTCTATCTATTCTTTGGTTCTATAGGTTAGCAACTTCATCCTCTCATGTTTCATTGCTAATATTGCTCATTTCATGGTCTAGAAACAAGAAATTTGTGGTTTTATTTTAGATTGAGAATAATGGCGTATTTTTTTTATTTATATGCCATTTAAGCTCAAACTCACTTGATAGTTTGAATGTGTAGATGAAGGAAGCTTATAGTAGTTGATCAAATTTAGATTCCTCCTTTAATTGCTAGTCTAGCTCATTTCATGGTTTAGAAATGGAGAAAATTGAGTTTTTTTAGACTAGGAATAATGGTGGATTTTTTGTTTGATTCATAAGCTATTTGAGCTCAAACTATTGATAGTTTGCATATGTAGAAGAAGAAAGCCTATAGGAGTTCAACAAAATGATTATCCACCTTTCATTGTAGTATAGATCATTTTATGGTTTAGAAATGGAGAAAATTAATAGTAGTTGATCAAATGAGTTTAGACTAGATGTCGACTGCTTCTAGGTCTTGGCCTCGTATGGAGTCCGTCCGTGACTGAGACCGTACATCCCTCTCGTTACGTGCGGCAAGTGTAACAAGACTATTTTGGAGTTCAGAGTGAAGAAGACGGGTCCCAACCACGGCTGCATGTTCTACAAGTGTCCGGATCGCAATGTGAGTTCTTTGGACCGTGTTTTTTTTTGGTTTGTATCCATTTCTATTTTTTGATAACTTTGATTAGAAGTTCTTGATTAATTTTATTTTCTAATTTTAGTGGGATGGTAGTGGATGTGAAGGTTGGTACTGGGAGGAGGATTATGTAAAGCACGTGCAGGACTCGGCTAAGGTAATTCTTTGAGGCAGTTGATGAGAGTTCACCTGTGCATGAAGAGGTGAACAAACAAAAGAAGCCAATCGATGAAGAACCGGCGAAGGATTTGTCTGTTTTAGTTGGAATTGGTCACGAAATCATTATGTTGAAGTGCATTGTAGGTTTAGTTTTTTGTGCTATTTAAGATTGTCTACATTCACTACTAGAAATATCCACTTCTATGACGAAAATCTTAATGATGATTCTGAAATTGTCATAGAAGATCTGTCGGGGTCATAAACTCGGGGTCCCCAATGGACCTGCTTCCCTGTAAAAACTCGGCCCAGCAGACGGCGTAGCGACAACGCACGCCTCCCGGGCTAGCCTAGATACATAATGATAGGTCGGGAGAACGATCCGGTCCCCAACCGGAAGGCTTGGCCAAGGTGGGGACACAGTCCGACTCCAACCTCCTTTTCTGACCGAGGATATGCCGGACCTCTGCTCGCGGCTCTTCCCTGACCGACACTGTCGGGGCCGACTAGGAACGATCGATCGGGGACGCCCGCTCGGTGAGGGCCCGGGGATCAGGCGGAGCAGATAAGGTAAGGCACTCAAGTCAAACCGCAATATCGAGGACCGTACCCTGCCATACCCTGCGCACCTGCAGGACGGTGCCACCAGGCCATGCCAGATGGGCACTATGCAACCTTTCAGGCATGTCAGAACACAAATAATATTGTAGGCGCCGACATTTGCCATACCAGGCGAACACGGTAGAGCCTGCCACATGCATCTGGACATAAACAGTATTGTGGGCGTCGACGATCGTCTCGTACCAGCCAGTGTGGGCAACAAGACTAGGTAGCACACGTATACATTCTCTCTCTTTCTCTGACTTGTAAGGCCATCCCATTCGACTATAAAAGGGGATGAGCTCTCTCCTAAAAACTCTCTCTGGCTCTCCTAAAAAAAGAGAAGCTAGACGATTCGAGCAGTCGAGGACCTGAGAACACGAATAGCTCAATAGCTCTAGAACTCTAAAGCTACACAGAGTATACGCTCCAATACTTAGCGCACGTTAGAGCCCCCGTCACTCTCGGCCCTTCGGTTCAGAGTCCGACTGGGCCTTTAACACCCCCTTCTTATTCCTACTCGTTTGTAACCCCACAGCAAACTTCAAGCACCTGGGCTCAAGAATAAAGTCACCGACCGACTGAAACTGGATGTAGGGCACGTTGCCTGAACCAGTATAAATCCTGTGTCATTGAGTGTTAGGCCACATCCGATCACAACACATGGCAAAACTATAAATATTTACTTATTGGTCACTTTTTGCACCGACAGTTGACGCCGTCCATGGGGAGGACGTCGTGCATTCACGCTTTTGGTCATCGGATGGCCCACCTTTCCACCATCTTCGTCATGGCAGGCTCGAGCAATACGATTCGCTTTGGCTCGCTAGAGTTCCCCACGCTCCCACCTGTTGGGATGTGGGTTCCTCCCATCTTCGTGCCACTCTAGACCTTTCTCTTCGGGAGTTTGGGCTTCGTCGCTAACCGGCTCGGCATACTCTGCCTCCACGAGGAGGCGCTCGTCTCGGCGTCCACTGGAGGAGGAGCACCATCCACCAACCCCGGCCCACCCGACGACCTCAACATCAAAACCCTCACGCTTCACCTCGAGCCCATGCTGGGCTCAAACTCCACGGTGAGTAACGTATATGTTGTTCTTTACTCATTATTTAACACCTTCCGCTGACTCTACGGAGGGACCCCGTTGTCCCCACTGC